CTACTACTATTACTGCAACTACTGTTACTACTGTTACTACTACTACTACTACTACTACTACTACTACTACTACTACTCTGCTGCTGCTAGCACCGCTACTACTACTACTGTTAGTGCTACTACTGTTACTGTTACTATGACTATGACTTCTACTACTAGTACTTCTACTACTTCTACCTCTAAGGCAGACCTGACCTATAGGTTCTTATAATTGCAACTTTCATCTTTACATTTCTTGCCATACTTTGGAACACTCCTGGCAAATCGACTCCATCATTAACAGGTACCACAGACCCTCCAACAGAAAAGTTACACAGTGCAGCTTTAAATGAGCCAAACCTGCTCCAGTTCATTCGTGGACTTGAAAACGTTGGCGCTGATCTTGGGAGAGACGCTGAGACTTCTCCCTGTCCAGAAAGTGTACGATTATTATTGTGCAAAGTACTGACAGTTCTACATGAGTATAAACAGAGGTGTGTAGTACTCGAGTAACTTTGTGTACTCTGTGTAACAAATTTATGAGGTTTCTATTATGCTATAACGCTGTTCTCTCATTAAAAAATATGCCTGAAGAGGTTTTAGAAGTCATCCATGCATGTTTGAGTAATTTAGTGATCTCTCCCGGGCCCTGTTTGAAACGTCATTATGTTTTGCTGTAAGATTCTGTTCATTCTCATATAAATATACAAAAACATGATACAAAACTTTACACAACAACTTCACAAAGCTGATGTGATGTGCACTAGTTTCATTAGTGGGATGCTGATTGTGTTGTGATAGTGATAGTGTTTGTTGGTGAATATAGCATTTTTAAAACAATAAAAGTAATATGGTGATCTAAATTTGTTATGTGTTAGTTGTTAATCAGCCACAGAAGTAAAACTATAATATTAAAAGTTATTATAAGACTGATTTTAACCCTACTTTGATGATAAACTGTTAGTTGTTGTGTTTTTTCTGACCTGTTTTGTTGAACTTTTCCTCCTGGTAACGCAGCTTAAACTCAGTCAGCTTTTCTTCCTGCTCTGTTTGACTGCTGGTACAAAAAAACATACAAAATAACAAATAAGAGAGTTAGTGAATAAATCAGAATCCGTTCATTCATTTGTTTTTCAATATCAAACCAAAAATAAAAAAACAAAAAAATAACAGTTTTCTTCATTATTTGTCTCCAAAACCAAAATGAAAAAATGGATAACGATTTGTGTTTTCAATTTTCGATTTTGTGTTTAAATTAATAATGGAAAAAACGGATAATGGCCATTTACCGTTTCTGTGACTTAAACTGCAATGACGGACTTTTGCAACGCATACGGACTGAACCAGGACTAAACCAGGACTAAACCGTTTTCTGTCCTGGTCTGGTCCTGGTCTCAGTCCCAGTCTCAGTCCCAGTCTCAGTCCCGGTCCTGTTCCCGGTCTCAGTCCTGGTCTCAGTTCTGGTCTGGTCCCGGTCTCAGGCCCGGGCTCAGTCCCGGTCTCAGACCTGGTCCTGGTCCCAGGCTCAGTCTTGGTCTGGTCCCGGTCTAAGTCCTGGTCTCAGTCCCGGTCTGGCTCCGGTCTGGTCGGACCTGGTTTAGTCCTGGTTTAGTCCTGGTTCAGTCCTGGTTTAGTCTGTATGTGGAGCAAAAGTCCGACATTGCAGTTTAAGTCACAGAAACGGGAAATGGCCATTATCCATTTTTTCCATTATTCATTTAAACACAAAATCAGAAGCTGAAAGAGAGCTGACTATCTGAAAAACTAGCTTGTGACTTCTAATATTATGTGAGAGTCTTAAGACGAATCATCTCACCTGTTGTAGCTTCAACTACACTACTGCTCAAAAGTTTTAGAACACCAAACTTTTTCCAATTATTTATTGCATTTCAAGTCGTGCAAGTCCAATGAAGAGCTTGAAATGGTACAAAGGTAAGAACTGAACAGACAGAGGTTAAAAAAAAAGATAAAAGAACAAAACACAAGTCCAAGCTCTGCCAAAACGACCTCAGGAAAAAAGAACAAGATGGTGAATTTGAAAACATGAAGTGTCCAGCAGCAGCACAGTGTCCAGACTTAAACCCCATGGAGCTGGTTTGGGATGAACTGGACAGAAGAGTGAAGCAACCTACAAGTGCCACACATTTATGGAAACTTCTGCAACAGACTTGGGAAGAACTTTCTGAACAATATTTAATTTCTGTTGTAAAAAGAACGAGCTACGAGTGTTTTCAGCTGTTCTATCTGCCAAAGGTGGACACTTTCATGAATTTAGAATACATTTTGGTCAACAGTAAACAGTAAAAAAATGGAAAAAGCACAGTGTTTTAAAACATTTAAAGCTCATCCTAAACCCAGGGAATTTTGATGACATCAGCTGCAAATTCTGAATGAGAAAAATGATTTTTCGTGTTTGTACCTGGTTGGTGAAAGTTGGTTTAGTCCATGCCAGGAGACAGGTCTGATCTTCCTGCAGACCACTGGACTGCTCCTGGGAAGAACCGGGATTAGACCAGAGTCTGGACCTGGATCTAAACCAGGTCCTGCAGGAGACTCTTCTTCTTTTACTGTCTGTGTTAGGAGAGATGGCTGATGGGATATGTTTGGAGGAGACACGAGGAGAAGAGGAGTGTGCAGCTCATCTGAAGATACAGGTGAGAAAAAAACAATATGCAGATATAATTACCTCTACATATACACTGTTTCCTATATTTGTCATTTGTTTAAAGGTGCACGGTGTAACTTTTCTGGTAGAGGGTCTCCATGGAGATGTTATTACTCCACAAAAACTTTCACACCAAGAACCAACATCTGGCTTTCAGAATACCACCATATAAGGTCAAAGTTTTCACTTTTGCTTTTGACCCTGAGTCCCCTGACCCTTTGCTCTAAGGCTACATGACAAAGCTTCTGGATTTTCTTTTTTCTTCTTTCTTTTACGGGTTGAAAAATGTGTTGGATCAATAAATATTCACGTCCAGATGACAACAGAGCAGAGTGAAAACAAGGTAATACATCTGCCACACCTGTATGTGGCGCTGTTAACAATGATAATAATATTTAATGATGCAGATCTCGTCAGCTTTTTTTTTTTTTTTTTTTTTTTGGTCGTCTTTAACGTGCCTATTTTAATCCGTGGCATTCTTATTCCACTGCTTTCCACCTTGTACTTTGCTGTTACAACATTACAATTTCCCCATTGAGACAAACATTTTCTTATTTTCTAATCTCACTATTTTTGTAATAAATTCTAGATTTTGAGACAGAAAAAAACACATGAAACAGATTGATTTCAGAATGTATTTGTGATTGAAAAGTTCCAGTGTAAAGATGGTGCTGTTTGTCTTCATCATTATATAACCAGTGTTCCTCATTCTGTGGCCCTGAGCAACTTTTACAATTCTGATTCAAGTCGACACAAAACACAGTTCCATGTACACACAGAAACACAGAGCACACACACCATCACTGCTCCAGTCTGACATGACATTTACACACACTTACATGAGCAACAACATTGGAAATAAAAGTTCTAATCAAGTTAAAACAGTGTCTGATGTAAAATATATAGAGAATAATATAATAATACAAATGTGAAGAGTTTAGTTTTCTAATAATATGAACAATAACATGTCATTTTCATCATGTCTTTACAATGATTCTACTTCTGATACAAACCAAGACCATTACAAAGTTACTCAGGATTTTATTCATTGTTCTAATGTTTTATCTAGTTTTGAAACTAGTTTTAGAATCTATCAGTGTCTAAACAAGGATTTTGTGGACAACCTTGACAAAAATCATTTTAAACTTTATCAAATTAGTTTTTTAAAAAAAGGCACAAATTTGGTTCTAAACTGTGGAGAACAAAGCTGCTATTTGAGTTTATGGAAATGTGCAGTGTCTCCAGTAAAACCAAACCAGACTCCAGTGTAGAGAGGCTGAGTGAACTTGGTCTGGACTCTGTGGAGGAGGCTCATGGTTCTTTCAGAGACGCTGTAAAATGCCAAAACCCCTGCACTGTGGTCCAGGTAAACCCCGATTCTGGACCCGACTGGACCTGAGACCTGGGACTGGACTTTGTTAAACCAGAATGAATAACTGTTAGATTCACACCGTAAGGCCCAGGATTTATCATTGTCTCCAAATCCACATTCAATAGAGCCTCCTTTCCTCTGAATATCTCTGTATGAAACTGCTATACGAGCACACCTCACGCTCCACTCCACCTCCCAGTAACAGCGACCCGTCAGACTCTCTCTGCTCAGGACCTGTCCATAGGAGCTGAATCTGTCTGAATGATCTGGATAACTCTGTTCTTCACTCATAACTGTTACTCTTCTGTTTCCATCAGACAGAGACAGTCTGTTGTGAACTGTGTTTGGGTCCAGAGTGATTTCTGTGGAATATTGTAAGAAGTCGTCTCTGGAGCTGGGTTCAGCTGGTGGCAGTAAAACCTGGACTGGACTCAGAGTGAGCTGGAGTGTGTCTCTGAGCTTGGACACAGCTCTGGTCACTTCCTCAAAGTAGCTCCAGTCCCCTGTGTGAATGGTGTGTGTCTCTGTGCTCTGTGTGTGTGGGGACAGTGAAGTGTAGACCTGTATAAACTGGTTATGATCCTGGGTGAGGGCCAGTGTGTCCAGCTCAGAGAGGCTCCTCTTCAGCCCCCTCACGTCCTGCTGCAGTTGGTCCTGGAGCTCTTGGACTCGGCTCAGTTGGGTCTGCTCCTGGGAGCGGATCTGCTGCTCCACTTCAGAGCGTCTTTTGTCCAGGAGAAGGGCCATCTGTGTGAAGCTGTCCCCGCTGCGCTGCACTGCTGTCTGGGCAGAGCGTCTGATGTCCTGGGCCTCCTGTTGGAGCCTCTTCAGGTCTGTCTCTTTGTGCTGGAGGTTCTGGAGCAGCAGGGTCCTCCTGGCCGGCAGCTCTGCCTGCCTCTGAGCCCTCTCTGAGGCAGAGGCCACTATGTCATGACCCTCATGTTGGTCCACACACAGGGAGCAGAGAAGCTGCTGGTCGCTCCGACAGAACATCTCCATCAGTCTGTGGTGTTCAGAGCAGATGTTCTTCTGGAGTGTGTGAGACGGCTCCACCAGCTGGTGTTTCTTAAGCGCTGCAGCTTCATGATGAGGCTGTAGGTGGCGCTCACAGTAAGAGGCCACACACTGCAGACAGGACTGGACAGCTCTCAGCTTCCTCCCAGTGCACACATCACAGGACACATCCTGAGGTCCGGCATAGCAGCGGGCAGCAGGGGGCGCTGTCTTCTTCATCTGCTCTACTAAACCTGCTAACATGATGTTTTTAACCAGGACACAGGCCTGGGGCTGAAGCTGAGGCGACATTCAGGACAGCTGTAGAGCTGCTTGTCGTCCTCTTGGTCCCAGTGCTGTTGGACACAGTTCCTGCAGTAGCTGTGTCCACAGGGAATAGTCACAGGATCCTTCAGTAGATCCAAACACACGGAGCAGGAAAAGGCTTCTTGGTCAAGTGTTTTCTGCGCCATCTCTCCTGGATCACAAACACTTGGACTTTGAAACAAGCAAAACTTACGAGTGGAGTGAGAGCTGTGGGAGGAGCCACACCCACAGCTCTGTGTAGATGTGAGGAGGAAGTGGCAGCTCTTAAAGACACACACATGTTTTATCAGAGTTGAAATGAGAGTGTGTGACAGTTTACAGTCACAGACACAGGGTCATTGGGCACAAGTCAAACTCTCCAAAAGAGAATCAAAGAGGAACACAGTGTAAAGGATCAGTGTAGTGCCACAGTGCTTTGGTGTGAGGAGACAGGATTTCTAAACGTATCAACAAACATCATCTTCATCAGGCTCTTTCTAGAAGGACATGTGTGTTTATTGGTTTAGTCCTGGTTTAGTCTCAGTCTTGACCAGTTGGATTTTGAACTGGTTTGATCTGTTAAGTCCTGGTTTAGATTTACAGTACATAAACAGTACACATCTTTTAAATCTGTAGTAGTTCAAGGTATTTAAATCTAAATATAATTCGTAGCTCTCAAAAAACATAATCAGCAGAGGCAGGTAGAGTGGCCAACAACTCTGTGAATAATATTACTTCAAATTAATTTTAAAGTAGTGATCCAAGAAAATGTTCTAATAAGAGTAACTTCTCTAACATCTCATTTACAGTTTGTTTCACTGGAAGGACAAAACATGAAATAATGCACAAAATCTGGTTTTGGTGGAAGAAACACAAATGTTTAAATCGTTTCACATTGTCAACATAAAGATTTTGTCACTTTAGACTCACAGTGAAAAGAGGAACCACAGTTTTGACTGAAATTAGAGTACTGTTCCACTATAAGTAGGAGTAAAAGTATTGCAGTACTATACCCACCTTTGCTAGTATTCACATGGTAGAAAAGGTTTGAAAGGTCTGGGTTAAACGTGTCTGGACCAGTGGACCAGAGCTGACCCAGGATCCTGGAGGATTCAGTCTATATTGTGCATGATTTAGATTGATGGAAAAACGAGCAGACACAGGCAGAGCATGCAAACTCCACCTGAAAACCCCCTCTAGAAATCAAGTGGTTTGGATGTGTTGGTTGTAATTGTCCCTGTTCAGCACTAGGAGGCAGCAGAGCTCTTAGTTTCTTGCACTGGGCTCTGTTCACATTCAAGTCACATTTCCTGGTCCTGATGTGGAAAAAGAATCTTCCATCAAACAAACGTCGCTCAGTTTCCCACAAAATGACAAATCCTGGATGAATCATGAATCCAAAAATCCTAGTAGTCCTACTCTAGTTCTCCCTGTGTGGGTCATGTGGCAGAGGCAGGATCTGGACCAGGATCTGAACTGGATTTCCAGAGATCTCCTAAGAACCTGGTCTATATGCAAGGTGAATGTGTTGTTCTCCCAGCAGAATGGTGAAAGTTACAAGAAGAGAAATGCCAAATCAATGCTCTAACGCTTTATTCATTTAGTGGGACAAAGTAAAGGGTCTCTTATCAGGGCTGTGCTTTGAATAGAATGAAATCAGGATGGAGATTTGGAATGGTCAGTGATCAGATTGTGAAACATTTTCCACCATTTGAACAGCTGCCATTGTTGTGGACCTGTGTGTTCTAAAAGCAAACTGATGTTCATCCTGTTTTACCATATGACGTCACAAGGTGGAACAGTGTTTTCTCAGCCTAAATGTGCAGTTTGTATGTTAAACATTTGTGAATGAAACAAAACACAACTCCTGGTTTGTTTGTGACAAGGAAATAACATCAGAAAAGAACAGATGAGAAAAGAAGAAGCGTAATATGTGCCCAGGAATAAACCAGAACTGAACCAGGAGTAAACCAGGACTAAACCAGGATTAATGTTGGACTAGAACTTGGAATCTAGGACTGCCCCTGAGAGAACCCCGAGCCCGTAGGTGTCTGCAAGGCTCAATCGGGCGTCAGCTGCGTTTAGTCCCATGCCCCTTTTCGCCCGTGGTCACCCGACAGTCTACGTGGGCGCATCTGATATAGCAATGATTTTAGCGAGCTTGTATGAAGAAAAACCCACCACTTCAATCCAGGTTCAAAAAGCTTTGTAACGCGTTACTGACATTTGTACCGAGGAAAATATTACTTTTTTTTTTTTTCAGATGTATCCCAAAAATATAGCCATTTTGTTTTGCAAAAGTTAAACATAAGTTTTCATTTTTAGCCATAAGATTTGGAAGAGAATTATTAGAATAACTTGGTCTCCAAATGCAACAGTTGTATTACGCTAACTGTGTAATCTTTGTTACTAATCTGTGTGCGTAATCCGCCCAGTGCGTGTTGTTAGCATTAGCACTAGCAGCATGTCTCGGTTGCTGGGCGACAGGAGCAGCTCTGTGGGGCTACATCTGTCCCATTTCAGCCATGTTCTTGCAGTGAGCGGAGGCAAGTTTGAGAGCTGCAGGCTTCACTGCATCAGAGAACCCTGGTAATGACGGGATCATGACGTCATTGTTTTCCAAAAGCTGCAGCTTGTTTGTCCACATGACAACGCAACGCCGGTGTTCTCAGATTTCTTCACTCTGGAACCCGTTCTCAAAAAACTCAGCTTTTGCCCACCCAAAATACCGGCTCTGTGTGGACGAAAGGCCAAAACAAATACAAACTTCACTGTTTTGACCAAAAAACGCCACGTACAGGTGTGGCAGATGTATTACATCATTATCACTCAGTGCTCCGTTGTCGTCTGGACGTGAATATATATTGATCTGACACGTGTGTGGATGAGAATATTTTTCAGTCCATAAAAGAAAAAATCAGGAGCATTGTTGTGTGGATGTAGCCTAAGTCATTCCCCCTTCAGAGGTCAGTATCAACACATTCAGCATGCATCCCGCTAATGAAACTACTGCATATCGCATCAGGTTTGTGAAGTTGTAGTGTGAAGTTTTGTATCATACTTCCAAAGACACTGTGGTTTGTAAAGATCAAACAGTAATACACTATAAAACCCTAACAGACAGTAAGATTTTCAACTGATATCCCCAATGTGAAAGAATGAGCAAAAAATTCAATTAAAAAATCATTTGTGTGTATCTCACCGTAGGGGTGTGCTCCCTTGGGTGCCTCCTGACTCCAGCTCGCCTGGGCTCTGTTCAGTCTGGACCTCATGACTGTGGACATATGACCACTACTACTTTAATATTCCTACTACTTCAATTACTGCTACTATTTCTACTAGTTCATTAAATATCACTACAACAACTATTACTAGTACTACTACTACCACATTAGTAACAAAAACTGCCACTTGTACTAAGTCACATCATTTACTGCTATTATGTATTTTGTTTTTATTCTTCTACTACTGCTACTATTACTACTACTACTGCTGCAAATACTACTACTACTACTTTTTACGACTTTTACAACAAAAACAATCACGACAATGACAACTACTACTACTACTACTACTATTACTACTACTCTTACAACAAAAACAACAACTACTACTATTAATACTACTACTGCTACTGCTACTATTACTACTACTACTACTGCTACTGCTACTACTTTTACAACAAAAACAATCACAACAACAGCAACTACTACTACTACTAACTACTACTACTACTACTACTACTACTTTTACAACAAAAACAACAACAACGACTACTACTACTATTACTACTAAAGCTACTGCTACTGCTACTACTACTATTACTACTACTACTACTACTACTACTACTGCTACTACTACTATTACTGCTATTACTACTACTTTTACAACAGGAACAACAACAACAACAACTACTACTACTACTACTACTACCACTGCTACTACTGCTACTACTTTTACAACTAAACAATCACAACTACAACAACAAAAACAGCAACTACTACTACTATTACTACTACTACTACTATTACTGTTACTACTACTACTACTACTACTGCTACTGCTACTACTATTACTACTACTACTACTACTATTACTACTACTACTATTACTGTTACTACTACTACTACTACTGCTACTGCTACTACTATTACTACTACTACTACTACTACTACTGCTACTACTGCTACTACTACTACTACTACTACTACTATTACTACTACTTTTACAACAAAAACATCAACTACTACTACTACTGCTACTGCTACAATTGTTACTGCTACTACAACTACTACTGCAGCTACTACTACTACTACAACTACTACTGCAGCTACTACTACTACTGCTGCTACTACTGCTACTACTACTACTACTACTACTACTACTACTACTACAACTACTACTGCAGCTACTACTACTACTACTACTACTACTACTACTACTACTACTGACTGCTACTACTACTACTACTACTACTACTACTACTACTACTACTACTACTACTACTACTACTACTGCAACTACTACTAATGCTACTACTACTACTACTACTACTACTACTACTACTACTACTGCTACTACTACTACTACTACTACAACTACTACTGCAGCTACTACTGCTAGCTACTACTACTACTACTGCAACTACTACTACTGCTACTAAACCTACTACTACTACTACTGTAAGTACTACTACTACTACTACTACTACTACTACTACTGCAACTACTGCAACTGCAGCTACCACTATTTTCACTAATACTTATTGATCTATTGATTACCACTACTACCACTATCACTACTACTATCACTTCTATTACCACCGGATTGCTGTCTTCCGTTGGCTTCTTTATCTCCAGATTGTGACTTCCTGCACAGTCAAAGCAGAAGTCCAAGTGATTACTCAAATAACTACATTTAAAAAATAAAATAAAATAAAATAAAAAAAACACTTAAAACATTTGATTTTAGAACAATAAATAATAATAATAATAATATATATGTGGATCACTCACCATTGTTGCTCTCCTCTCCGCGAAGAGACGAGATTCTTTTACGTCACTGAGGAGAGAGAGAGAAGGGGGGATGGAGAGAGAGGAGAGAGAGAGAGAGAGAGAGAGAGAGAGAGAAAGAAAGAAAGAAGAAAGAAAGAAAGAAAGAAAGAAAGAGGAGGTGGGAGATAGTGGGGTAGAGAGAATAAAAGGAGAGAGAGGGGGGAGAGAGATGGTGGAACAAAGGAGAAAGAGGAAGCGTATAAGGAGAAGAGAGAGAGGGAGAAAAAAGGGGGAGGAAGGGGGAGAGGGCCAGAAGAGAGAGAGAGGGAGAAAGAGGAAGAGAGAGATCTGTCAAAAGGACTTCCTGTGTTCTTGTGGTTTTGAGGCTCAGCAATTATTAGAAGTGAAATCGACACTTTTCACAAGTGACTCACAATTTTCTTTAGCTTTACAGTTTTTTTCAGTCGTTTTGGCACTTTTATCTATGGAAAATTTACATTTGCAAAACAGCTCTCACAAAATCCAAAATCCTCAACAGGATTTTTAAGTTTTCCTAAACAAAATTTAATCTCAACAAAATGCAGTTTTAGATTCAAAACTGATCGATCATCTCCCCAAAACAAGTTTTACCATCAAAACTCTTCCACTTTGCCCATGTGTTTTCTGTGCTCTTTCATTCATGTGACAGAGCAGCTCAGAGCCTGAGGTCTGCTCTCAGGAGCCACAGACAAGCCCTGGTTTAGTGCAGTCTCATTTTTGGGTTCACAATTGACACACATGAACTGGAAAAGTGCTTCTTTGTCTAAAACCTGTCTGTATTGTAGTGTGTCAAATATAAATGTACATTACCACAAATTAGATTTAGCAATTTTTTATCAAAAATATTTATGTAGAAGAAAATTGTTGGAATATCAACACTTTTGTATGGTCATGTGTAATCTGTGTTCTTCACAATCAAACTGTATGTATGTGAAAGTGTGTAGTCTGTACATGTACTCAGTGTGTGGACTCAGTGCTCAGGCCCTGCTCTCACTTTGACTCATGCGTGAAATCTTTTGCAGAAACTATATTGAAGTTTCTGTACTGAAAGTGACAGAGTTTGAGTCAAAGTCCTTTAGCACATGAGAACAGAGCTGTAGTTATAGAAAAAACAAGGTGACTTCAGTGATGATGTGTGAGAGCTGTGTTCAGTGTTGTGAGGAAGAGTCTGACAAATGTGTGAACTCATGAGAATGTTTCAGATGATGTGATCACCCGTGGCTCTGCTCAGGTACAGGTTTGAATCAAAAGATCAAACTAAATAAAGTTTTTTTTTTTAAAGAAGTGCTAAAACAATTGACAAAACTCAAACAGAAAACATTCCGTTTCACCTTGTGATGTCATGTGGTAATAGAAGTGCTCCACTGTGTTTTTAAACTCCATACACCTTCACTAGAATCATTTGGATATTTCTGTCCTAGAATTGCTCATCAGCCACATATCTATACAACAGCTGCAGATGCTGCAGATGCTGCAGATGACCAGCAGATGGCGTTGTTGTATAAGACTAACTCCAACAAATCAGCCTCACCATCAAGTGTGGGGCATGTAGAATAAAGAATTTGTTTTTTCAATATATTTCAATATATTTGATACTAAAACTACCAATTTATATTTTTAATTTCAGGAGACTTCATCATGAAGCTCACTGAGAGAAGGCCAAGAGTTTACAGCTGTCCACACAGCAAAGAGTGGATACTCTTTCTTTACATAATGCCACATATCTTGCTTCATATACAGTCCCTGACAAAAGTCTTGTCACTTATCCATTTTGTAGAAACAAAAGCTTATAACTTGACTTTAAATTAATCGATTGGTTTTAGAAATGTCTCATATGAAGCTAAAACCCTCCCAAATTATGTTCAATATACTAAAAAAAATTAGCTTCACTGAAAAAAGATTGATCATTTAATGAACACAGAAAGGTCAGATTTTGGCAAGACAAAAGTTTTGTGGCCTACAGAAAATTGAACAAATAATTTACTTCAAATACAAAAATATGTTGCATAACGTCAGTGAATGAAGTAGTGGTGCTGTGAGATCCATATTTAATATCTTGTATGACTCCATGAGCTTGAAGGACGCATCCATGCGGTTCAACAATGATTCATACAATTTGTTGATGAAGTCATCAGGAATAGCAAAGAAAGCGTCTTACATGCCTCCCAGAGTTCATCAAGATTCTTTGGTTTTGTCTTCCATGCTTCCTCTTTCATTCTACCCCAGACATGCTCAATGATGTTCATGTCTGGTGACTGGGCTGGTCAGTCCTGGAGCACCTTGATCTTCTTCACCTTGAGAAACTTTGATGTAGAGATAGAAGTATGCGATGGAGCACCATCCTGCTGCAAAATTTGACCCCTTTTATGGTTGGGAATGTAAGAGGAGCTAATACTTCTTGATATTTTAGGTTATTGATATTTGCCTTCCACCCTGCAAATGTCTCACACACCCCATAGACTGGATGGAACCACAGACCAGGATTTTTTCCGCCACCAAACTTAACTGTTTTCTGGGTGAATCTTGGATCCATGTGGCTCCAGTAGGTCTCCTGCAATATTTGTGGCAGCTGTGATGTAATTCAACTGAGGATTCATCTGAGAGAAATCCACCTTCTGCCACTTTTCCAGTGTCCATCCTTTTATCAGGCTGTGGGCCTTGGCAAATGCCACACAGTTTTTTTTTAATTGCCTTTTGTTTAGTGCTGGTTTCTGTGCACTGATTCAACCATGGAGGCCATTTCCAGACAGAATTCTACAAACTGTTGTGGTTGACACAGGGACTTGAGGTGACCAGGCCTGGTGGAGTCTGCTGCAGTGGAAAAGGGGCCGTGGATTTTTTAATCAACAAACGGTCCTCCCGAGCAGTTGTCTTGCAGCGTCTGCTGGACCTGGGCTTGTCAAAAACATCTCCAGTCATTTCAGATCTTTTTCTTATTCTTTGTACTTGACGCTGAGACACATTGAAGGTGTCACCACCTCAGCAGTGGATCTGGTCTTCAGCCTCTTGATAATTAACGCTTTGGTCTCAGGGTGGATCTTAGGCATGTTGTCAGAGGTCAAGTTGCAGTTGATGTGAAGGTCTGGTGTGCTGGGTTCTTTTTATACACAAACACTAACTGATTGATCAGTAACTGATCACAGGTGAGGCTGTAATCTAGGATTGGTGCATCATATGACAAGGCAAAAGACTTTCATGTCTTGCCAAAATCTTTTTTCCAGTGAAGCTAATTTTTTTTTAGTAATTTTGAAATTTTTTTTTCATAATTTGGAGGTTTTAGCTTCATATGAGACATTTCTAAAACCAATCGATTAATTTAAAGTCAAGTTATAAGCTTTTGTTTCTACAAAATGGATAAGTGACAAGACTTTTGTCAGGGACTGTACGCAATGTATATATATGTGATCTGTTTGTATCTAAAATATAGAAAGTAGTAAACAGAAAGAAACAAAACATCCAATGAGAGGCTGTATCTGAACGTTTGACTGGTTGTGTCCTTTTCTAAACTTTGCACATGTAAATGTGCTTCTTTGACCTACAAGCCTCTACAGCGTTTGGCCCTCCACCAGTGAATGCTTTTATCAAACAAAAGTCTGCTCAAAGTAACTGGAGCGTCAGAGGTCAGAGGTCAGAGGGAGCATCTCTCTCCCAGACACCCTCTCGTATCAGGGTGGAACCTCCTGAACACTATTCCACTCTCAGAGAGGAGAGCACCAGCCTCCTGCTTTTAAGAAACATTTCAAACTGGGCTTGAAACACACACAGACATGTGATCATGTGTGGTCATAGGGTCAATTATCATTTTATGGACTCCTTCCTGCTAAAACATGACAATATGAATGAGTGCAATAGTGTTCTAAATGTCTGTCACTTACTGAACTCACTCAGCTGAATGAGTTCAGTAAACTGCACTGCTCACAATTGTGACCACAGAAAAAGATCTATTTTTGAGACGCTAACTTTGCTACTGTGTGTATTTTCAGTGTATTATCAGTATTTTCTGCATAAAGGGTTGTGGTGAAATGTCTGCAATATCACATGTTTACTGTAACACATGACCAGAGAAGGTTTTGTTAAAGTTACATGTTGAGGAGAAGATGACACCCAGAATTCTCTCAAATAAAAGGGATGTAAAAGTGATGTATATTTAATCCAGGACCATGATTTTTGTTACACATCATTTTAAGGGTTTAAGGAGGATGATAAATGCATTTGCAATGACTCCACTTTATTTTGGTCTGAACTTTATGAATTGCTTTAAATCCACCCTCAGGGAAATTCATCATATGTTAGATGAAGCTTATGGCCCCATGAAGGTCCCTAAACATTAGAACTTGGGTTCCTCATCATTATTGAGTGGCCTGATATACAGTAGACTGTGAGAGGGAGATGTGAGCAGGTTGTTCAATAGACCATACTGACCTGGTGGAGTCAGGCGAGGGTGAATGTCCAACACACTGCTCCACCAGGGAGCATTCTCATTTACTGAAGGTCCATGCTACAGGGTTAATGTGTGAAGGACATGCTTCCACATGGTACATGTTCCTGACCACATTGTATGTTAATTACATGATGACATGTTCATGTGCTGACAAAGCTGCAAAATGCTAAAATGTTATTCAAAATACATAAAGATAACAATTATTTTTTTCAGTTTTTGATTTTGTGTTTAAATGAATAATGGAAAAAACTTGAACTTGACTTAAACTGTGATGCCGGACTTTTGCAGTGCAGACAGACTGGACCAGGACTAAAACAGGACTAAAACAGCTCTAAAAAGTTCCAGGTCTAAACCAGGGTCTGGTTTCACCGGTCCTCCGGTCTAGTCCTGATCTCAGTCCTAACTCTGGGTCTCAGGATCCTGGATCTCAATTTCGATCCTGTCTGGTCCTGTCTCAGAAGTCCTGGTCCTAGAACCAGAACTGATCTCATCCAATACTAAACCAGACTGACCACCAGAAGTGTTGGAAACAGAAAAAGACTGTTATCAGTTTTTTTTATTTTTTATTATTCAATTAAACACAAAATTGAAAACTGAAAAAACTAATTGTTATCCAGTTTTTCATGTTGGTTTTGGAGACAAATAATAAAGATTTTAAAAATTTTTAATTTTTTTCTTATTTTTGGTTTTATTTTGAAAAAAACGAATGATGAACAATAAGTCACTTTTCAGAGTCTTTTTGTTATAATCCTCAAAATCAGACCTGGAGTTATATTTTGTTTCATTCACACATGTTTGAATAACTCTTTATTATTAGTCTGTCTTCATCTCCAAATCTCCAAATGCTCTGTTCCATCTGGTGACGTCATGAAGTGCTAGTTAGTTAAGTCTTACCTTTAGACAAGTTTTTAAAGTTACAGTTTTTGGGTTTACGTCAGTAACAGATTACAAATTGAATAGACTGTTACTTTGTTCCGTAACAGTTTTATCATGGTATTCATTTTGTTACAGTTACTGTTTCAGTGAGTGGTAATTGAACAACTTACTTTGTTAAACCTGGATTAAACCAGGATTTACTTGGTCTAAACCAGGACTAAACCAGGTTTTCTGGAACAGGACTAAACCAGGACTAACCAGGACTAAACCAGGTCTAAACCAGGACTAAACCAGGGGACTAAACCACTAAACCTAAACCAGGTCTAAACCAGGACTAGGAAAAACAGGTCTCTAAACCAGGACTAAAACCAGGTCTAAACCAGGAAACCAGGACTAAACTTCTAAACCAGGACTAAACCAGGACTAAAACCAGGACTAAACCAGGACTAAACCAGGACTAAACCAGGACTAAACCAGGTCTAAACCAGGACTAAACCAGGACTAAAACCAGGTAAACCAGGAGGTCTAAAAACCAGGTCTAAAACGAGGTCTAAACCAGGACTAACTAAAACCAGGACTAAACCAGGACTAAACCAGGACTAAACCAGGGCCAATTTGAAGAGAACAAACGTGAATTTTCAGGATGTGGTTGCTATATTCATGTAGTTTTAAAAAACATGACAATATCAAGTAATCCAAAGTATTCAGATTACGTTACTCACTTTAAGTAATTTAATGGATTACGTTACAAACTACATTTTGGGGTATGTAATCTGTAATCTGTAGGGGAATACATTTTAAAAGTCACCTTCCCAACACTGCCTTTAGATCAGTAGAGTTTGGTAATTCCAGAGCTGAAATCATCCAAATGATTCTAGTAAAGTTGCATGGAGTTTAAAAACACAGTGGAGCACATGACATCACAAGGTAGAACAGAGCGTTTTCTGTTTCTGTTTTATTATGAAAGCGGAAGTGGAGCTGTGGTTCGTGCTCGGTGTGGGGAGCTTTCCTCGGCGGCGCAGTGTGGGAGGCAGAGCGGCCACATCAGTCTCAGCGCAGCGGCGACAGGAGCTGGATCTGCGCGCTCCAGGACCGCGCTCTGCTGCTGCTGCTGCTGCTCCCCGGCTCCCACGCACTCTCCCCGGGACACCCACCGCGGCAGCTCCCCCCTCCGCTCCTGCAGGATTATCACTGGGATTCGTATTTATTTTCACCATCATCATCATGGCGACGCTAGGACCGGAGTGCGCCTCTCGCCCCCCGGTCTCCCAGCTCGCCTCTGCCCCGCTCCAGAGTCACATCGTCGGCGTCAATCTGCCCCATAACCGCGGGCTGGAGCGGGCTCTGGAGGAGGCGGCGGTCAGCGGGGTGCTCAACCTCAGCGCCCGCAAGATGAAGGAGTTTCCCCGGACTGCGGCGAACCACGACCTGTCGGACACGGTGGAGGCAGGTAGGTCTCAAATTCAGCCCCAAAATCTGCTTTCGGTTCGGTTTATTTTTAGAAGTGGCATTTCCGTTTGAAGCGTGAGGAGGCGTATTTGGGATTTGTGGAAAGGAATATTTTGTAGCACAATGCAGTAGTGGACTTGTTTAACTTGCCATAATTATACTATGTAGTTTGGTGATAAATTACGTTACCAAATTTTTTTGCGTAAAGGGCACGTATGACGCTATTTTCTGATCGATGTTCTAATGTTGTTTCCTCATCACAAACAGACTTGGACCTGTGTTTTTGTTTCATTCACACACGTTTAACACACAAAACTGCATATTAAGGCTGATTTCTTCTCTCAGACGTAAAACACTCGGTCGCACCTTGTGATGTCATGTGGTAGGCCTAATACAGGAAGTGCGCCACTGTGTTTTTAAACTCCATACACTTTCACTAGAATCATCTACGTCAGGAGTGTCAAACTCAAATTCACAGAGGGTCGAAATTAAAAACTGGGAGAAGTCGTGGGCCAAACTAAATATTTATTGACAAATTTCATCAACGTCTGCATGTTTTCTCTTCTTTTCGAAATATGTAATGTAAAATTTTTTCTTATTAAAATAAATGTTTAATAATAGTTTTGCTTAAACACTGAATCCTTACAAGCAGAATATAAAATAATAACATTTTAAATAAATATATACATGATAATTGATAAATATAATAATATGATCTAAAATCCAAATATAATTATATCGCGGGCCAAATTTGGTCCCTGGGCCTGAGTTTGACATATCTGATCTAGATGATTTCAGACCTGGAATTGCCAATCTACTGAACTAAAAGGTTAAAGGTAGCTGTTAACTGGAAAACTACCTCTTCATGACATCACAAGGTGGAACAGAGTATTTTGAGCTTTTTGGAGATACACAGATTAACAATGCAGGATTACTTAAACACGTGTGAATGAAAGAAAACGCAACTTGAGGTATGTTTTCGAGGTGGGAACAGCATTCTAACATGGCCTAAAGCTCACAAGAGTCCATTTTGCTTAATATAGGACCTTTAATAGTTTTTTAAAGTGTAAAGAAACGTGTGTATTACAATGATTCTGACCATGTGCAGTGAAATTGTTGATCTAAACCTAAAGGCAGACCTATTGTGTGGCCTGCGCACATGATTAGGCTATAGAAAAGGAAAAAAAAAATGAACATAAGGGCTGGATATCATTAAGAAGCTGCTGATACGATTCATACCTCGATACATAGGCCACGATACAATACATATCCTCCTGAGACCCGGCCCATTCATTTATGTCATTTGTAGTGAACACTGAGTTAACCAGTTTATCTTTTAAGTGTTTTGAGATAGACTCTTAATGGGGGGACTAAGTTCCTCTGCCTAAATAGGGCTAGGGGATTATAGGGTACCATCATGTCCGGCTCTCCTGGGAAACGCCTTGAGGTCCCCCCCGGAGGAGCTGGAGGAAGTGTCTGAGGTGAAAGAAGTCTGGGAGTGCCTGTTTAGAGGGCTGCCCCCATGACCCGGCCTCAGATAAGTGGAAGAAGATGGATGGATGGGTCATGTCCAGAATAAAAAAAACAAAAAAAACCCTCCAAACAAACAAGAAAAAACAAAAACGACAACAACAAAAAACCCTCAATAGGGGTTAGTCTGTGGTTGCACTATGATTTAAAAAAAAAAAAAAAAAAAAAAAAAAGAATTAAGAAATCAAAAGGGAGTCTAAAATATTTTGAGTTGACTGTAGAAGCTTGTTAGACGTGTTAGTCATCAAAAAAGTTGTTTTGTTAGGTTGGATTTAACACCAAAACGTCTCCAGCATCTATTACTGAGGACAAAATTATATAAAAAAAAAGAACAAAATCTAAATGCTAAGGTGTAACTCCAAATAGATAGAAAAATCATAAGAAATATAGATTGCAATACACTTTTTTTCTTCAGGTCCCAGGAGGATATCCCAATACTGTGCACTTTCAATTTGATACGATATATTTCAAACTGATTCGATACGGTCGGTTCAATAAAATATAATGGCTAAGTCATGACTGAGATAATAAAAGTCTTTGTTAAACCACTTCTTGTGCAAAGTTCATGTGGAAAAACACCCATTTTCATCATCAAAACAGTGAAAATGTCAAATGTGTCGCATAAATGAGTTTCCTTCCTCTAAACATGCAACAAAACTGTAGCTCTGGAACAAAATAATCGAGTAAAATTTACCAAAATATACCCTTGGTAATATATCGATGCAGCAGCCAACGATATCGATACTGCATCATCACATCCTAATGAAGATTTAGGTGCATATGTCCACAGTGACAAAACCATGGCTTACGATCTGCACCAATGCTGTCTCACACACACTTATAGTCGAACATAGGCAAGGAGGGTGAAATGACTTGCCCAAGGACACAGTAAAAATGGGAAGGGGGAAGGGTGTCAGTGTCAGAGTTGAGTTTGAACCACCGAGCTTTTAGTTTTAAAACAAGACACTGTCTTTAGGATTGTCAAAAGTATTGAAAATCTGATACTAACTGATACTAAAACTACTATTTAATGTTGAAAATCACATTCTGTTGTCTAAAGAGTGTTTGTATTATCAGTGTGGTATCGGAATTGGTATTAAGTATCGAGTCTATTCCTTAGTATCGAAGTTGAGTTTGAAATTTTAGTATCATGACAACACTTTTTCACTTTGCAACAATCCGAAGTTAAAGCCACTCCATGTAACTTTTCTGGTTGAGCATCCTCCACTTGCTCGTCTCCATGGAGATGTTATGGCTTTGACTGGGATGTTCTGTGGATAAAAAGCGGACAATGCCACAGAGCCAAGCTACAAGTCAGATCTGTGGAGAGGCGACCCCTGCACACAATAACGATGCCACAACTCTATTTCGATACTAAGGAATAGACTCGATACTCAATACCGAGTTCGATATCTCCACGATAACAAAGACAGAGACGGCAATAGAAAGGTTCATTGTTGGGTCATAAATGTGACTTTTTTAGTATCGATACCTGCTCAAATGAGTATCTAGTTTCGATACTATCTGATTTTGGATATTTTTGACAACCCCAGCACAAAGTATGTTGTTCAAGGCAACTTTTTAGCAATAAAAACACCTAATAAAAGAAATGTTAAGACCAGTTTCATACCATAGTGCGAACTCTGCCCTTTGTATTGTGTAACAGATCTTACTTTCTGTTTGCCATATCCTCTTTTTATACTACCTGTAATGCTTTATGTAGGTTAGAGTGCAGTTCCCGTCTGCCTTGCGTTACATAACATCTCTCAGTAAGGAGGTTGTGGGTTAAACTCCCAATTCGATCTCTCACGATTATTTCTGTATCGACTTCAGTATGAAAACAGAAACTATACATTTTGGGGCTCAGTATTTATCTTTTGTATAATTTTATGTGTATAATTTAGCTGTAGATAGTTGAATAAATAACTTCTATGGCAAATTATTGGTTCATTGTGTTATTTTTATATGATACTGTATATTTAAAGATCCTATTTTGTGCTAAATTCTCTTGTGACTAGGGCTGGTTATCATTAAGAAGTTGCCGATACGATACATATGTCTATACATAGGCCACGATACGATACATATCTCTGTACAGATCGATACGATATATTTCAAATGATTCAATACAGTTCAATGCAAAATAACGTCTAAATGATGACTGTGATACAAAAAGTGTTTGTTAAACCACTTGCAAAATGAATATGAAACACAAACATTTTAATAATCTCAAACATTTTAATAATCAAAACAGTGAAAATGTCAAATGTGTCACATCCTTCCTGTAAACAAGCAACAAAAAAGTAGTGCTGTAACAAAATAATTTTATAAAATATACCAAAAAATACTCTTGGAGATATATCGATACAGCAGCCCACGATATCGAAACACATGATCACATTCAATGATAAGATATATTTCAATTAGGGCTGGGTATCATTAAGAAGTTGCCGATACGATACATACTCGATACACAGGCCACGATACGATACATATCTCGATACAGTGCACTTTCGATTCGATATGATATATTTCAAATCGATTCGATGCAGTTCAATAAAAAATAAAGGCTAAATCATGGCTGTGATACTTAAAGTCTTTGTTAAACCACTTCTTGTGCAAAATCCATATAAAACACAAACATTTTAATCCTCAAAACAGTGTCAAAATGTCAAATGTGTTGCATAAATGAGTTTCCTTTCACTCCACAAGCAACAAAACTGTAGCTCTGTAAAAAAATTTTTGTAAAACACACATAAAAATACTCTTGGTGATATATCGATACAGTAGCCCACGATATCGATACTGTATCATCACATTAAACAATACGATATATCGATATTCCGATATTTTTGCACACCCCTAATATCGATATTATGATATTTTTGCACACCCCTAATATCGATATTATGATATTTTTGCACACCCCTACTTGTGACTTTAATGTATGTTATAATGTTTCCTCATCATAAACAGACCTGGAGTTGTGTTTTGTTTCATTCACACATGTTTGAGTAATCCTGTTTTATTAGTCTCAAAATGCTCTGTTCCACCTTGTGATGTCATGAAGCGGTAGTTTTCAAGATAACAGCTAACTTTTACCTTTAGTTCAGTAGAGATTGGCAATTCCAGGTCTGAAATCATCCAGATGATTGTAGTGAAGCTGCATGGAGTTTAAAAACACAGTGGAGCACTTCCTGTATTACCACATGACATCGCAAGAGTGTTATAACAGAGATCAGAAAATAGAATAAATATGGGCCCTTTAAAATCTGTGTACTTGGATCCTCCTGCTTTGTGTCAGTGGCGTGAAGTACTTCCAATATTATCGTTTATCATAATATTTCTCTGTAGCAACTAGTGATGTAACAATAACCGAAATATCGTGATTTCGTATCGTCGAAAGTCTCAATATCACAATATATCAAATTACAAATCTATTCACTGAAATCAATAGTTATGGTGCAGCAA